ATTCATATCACTACATGTGTTTGTTATTGTTTTGATAGGCCTGTGCACCAAGGTACATCTGGCAGGACAGACTGTTCGAAAACCAGTATCTAATAGGAAGATGTATTGCTGCTCTTGATGATCTGCAAATTGTCAAATTTTACACACCATGTTATACGACAGGTTGTAAGTACTTACATAATAACTATATATACATAATAACTATATTACAGGTGCGAATACAGAATTTTATAAACGTGCCAGCACCAATTTCATACTAGGTCTAGATAGGAGGAGTATGATTCGTTTTTAGCATTGTGTTGCGAAATATTGTAACATGTAGTATTTGTATGCTATTTTCATTTTATTTCTGTTAAAATAGATGACAGTGACAAAACAGGGTGGGGGGGGGGCAAGTTTCCACCATGCGTCTCCATAAATCTGCCTCTGTTTTACATGCTGTAAATGAAAGAATTAATACCTATGCATAGGTATGTTGCATGTGAATAGATGACCAGTGGATAAATGGATGGCCTATGAATGAATGGGTGAGTTGTCCATAGATAGGTGTGTAGGATGAACAGGATGATGCCAGCAGGGAGGCCCCCCCCCCCAATCGATGAGAAAAACCCAAATTTGTCGAGGAGAAAAAAATGTATGTGAATTTCTACATATTAGTGGGCTCTAAAATCGATTAAATAAGCCTTTGAAACCTCTAAATTTTCATCGAGAGATTTTGAGTGACGATTTTTTCTTCGGGAAGTTGGTCCCCTATCGGGCAAATCCTGGCGCCACCCCTGGGGATGAATGAATGAACGACAAATGAACAAAGGAACGGATGGTTGGGAAAGTATGGGTGGACGGATTGATGGATAGACCATGTCAGGAGGACGAACCTGCAGGCCTTTAGACTGGTCCACTTACAAATGGCTGTAAGTGGATTACGATGGAATGTTGGACCGATCCATTATAGGGTATGATTAAAAAAGAATTAAATAAGCACAAAAATGCATACACTTACTTAGCTTAAGATTTGTACATTGTCTTTATATGTTTTTATTGCAGTAAGATCAGTGGCAACGACTGTACATGGACAAGCGGGATTCAGTGCTGCCATTCCAAAGGTGAAGCAAATAATATAATGCATAGGAGTAAATCCTTGCCAAGCCACTAGGGCCCATTTATTAGGGCTGGAGCTTATCCCCAGCTTCTGTAGCATGAAGCTGAGGAGAGTTCTAATGCTCCCCCTGGGTGGGACGCTAGTCCACCGCAGGTAACTCGCAGCAATTTGCTGGTACCAATTGATAAAGCTGGGTAGGCTGAAGCATATGTAGATAAAGTGCCTTGCTCAAGGTCACAAGCGAAATCCATATATACATACACTGTACTGTAACACAAATGCTTGTGTGGGATTCAAACTTTTAAATGAACGTATGGATGTATAATATTCATCCTCTGTGTGTGCTACACTTTTTGAATCAAATTTAAATTCCTGAACCAAAGTTCTTTTAAGGTGTCATATTTATTTATAGGGCTAGACAGTAATTGTTTTTCTTAATATTTTGACAGAGCGGTAGCAGTAATGATTTTCTTCTTGGTGCTGTTGGAACTGAAACTTGGCAAGGTAATGCAATCCTAATTCATAAAGAACAGTACTAACAACGAGTATTGAACTTTATTCGAATTCAGAGAGGGCGCCCCTATCTGGTGGCGGTACTTTTTTTAACGTTCCGTTGCATGCATACAAAATCAGGGCAATCGGACCTTTTGCAATTCTATACCCTTTGATTATATCTATTTTATAGTTTCTTGAAAGCTAATAGTATATTTGATGTATATATTGTATATTTGTTTAAATGTTTACTTAGAAAATTTTCTTCCCAAATTTATCACAGTGTTTTTTTTTTTTTTATTTATTTTGATACAGGATCAGGCTATAAACTGAACTTTAGGAGCGAAAATAAACTGACTACAGAAAAAGAAAACCCTTATGATTATGATAGATCGCTTGACTTCAACTATAAAGGTTTCGGAATTTCTAATTGATTAGATTATTTAATGTTAACAATAACGATTGGAATGATGAAATAATGGCAGCGGCGACAACGAGACGATTGTGGCAAAATTGATGATGGGAAGGACAAAAATGACGGCCACGATGTTGATGATGATAATGATGATAGTGTGGTCCTGTGATTTATTTTTATTTTACCAATATTTTGTGAGGGTGGGCCATCCAGCCACAGCTGATTATTTTTTGAGACCTTCAGTACATTCAATAAAAGACAAAAAAATGTGAAAGTATTTTTTAAAAATAAGCTAGACTTATAATATTAACAAATTAATCGATACAGATAAAAATGTAAAAATCTGACAAATTATAGAAAATATAATATGAATTGTGGAAAAACATTTATAAAAAGATTCAAACAATATTAAGAAAATGTAAATAAAACTAAAATTGAAACATAAAGTAAGACGTAGTACAATTATTTAAATAAGTAAATAATCCAAAGAAAAGTAAAAAGTAAAATATACAGAAAATAATTTATTAACATTAAAATTATAAAATCTTCACATAAAAATATTTATAAAAAAAACCAATATTGAGGAAGAGGATGATAATGATGACGTTGGTGATGATGATAATGGTGGTTGTATTTAAAAGATGATTATGACATAATGATTGTAATGATATGATTACGACAATAAGGATGTTTACAAGTTAATGGCAACAGCAAAAACAATCATAATGTATAATTTAGATAAAATATTCTCATGATGTAGGCTATTCTTTGGATTACATAACCATGGAGAATGAAGTACGGTATGTCCTCGGGGCTCCTCGAGCAGAAAGGCTTTATGGAATGGTGAGAAAAATATCATCTCTAGACCCATTATTGTTTTTGAAACCAATGTAAATATGAATTTCTTGCAAATAAGCAGGCTCTCATAATATGCAACACATTTTAACTTGCGCAACTTTGATCGTTTTCGTAAAGGTTCTTGATCTTTCATTTCAAGCTTTTGGATCAAGCTTAACGTTTTAAACGCAATCGCAAAAGCATTGACACAAACTCAAACCACGGCTATAGCTGCATCAAAGCTTGGTTAATGTCAGCCAGCATGTGTTTTTGTATGGTTTTTGTACGTCTTGACATTGGTGATGCGTAAATGTAACATTTTGAGTTTGCGTCAAAATGCGTTTACAGACTCTACTCTAGTGTAAACAAAATTTAAATTTAAAGATGTATTTTCTTCTGAAAATGACAAAAAAAATAATAAAAAATAATTTTTTAAATTAACTTTTTTCATTTTTTTTTAGTAACATATGAATTATTAACATGAGCATAGAATGTGTACCCTGATTTATTATACTGGATAATGATAGAAATAATGAAACACTTGACTGGACTGGAAGAGTTTCGGTCATAATTTCCATGTTCAAGTTGATATTTTATGTTACTTCAAATTGTAAAAGTTAATTTCAAAAATTATTTTTATGATTTTTTTTTAAGTATTTTTCAAGAGACAATACATATTTAAATAGGCCTATGCATCAACTGTTAGAAGTCTTAACTTTTTTGTTTTTAATTAACAGGTATATGTGGTTCCAAACGCTTTTGACGAAAAACCTCTGATGAAACTTTCACGTAAGGGAGAACAATTAGGGGCATATTTTGGACAGAGTCTTACTGTAGTTGACCTCAATGGAGATAGGTAATATGTTGTTCAAATAATTTCATTTGGCTTCTGATAATATATTTACTACAGTAGATGAATTTTCTTTGATATTAAAGCCAACAGTAAAATTTCCTACCACTACAGTTTCGAACAATTTCGTAGATCTTCATCAGGAGAATGACCTAACCTCAATTAGATCATTTCGTCATTGGCCAATTTCATCCGATGATGTGCGCCCTCTGTTTTTTTAGTTAAGGTCTTCTCCGCGGGGCCCCCTGTTCCCTGGGTTGGTGTAGAAGGTTGTCGTAAATATGTGATAGCTGGTAGGCTCCTACATTTCTACAAAGGGCCATAGTTAACTAAGTTATAATATATGTTTCAAATATCATCTTCTTAACATTATTCAGAGGGATGTCATTTTAAGTAGATACCGGGATAAAAGATCATGAGAAATTTGTTGGCGTTTCATTTTGACTGTATAAAATGGTGATGTAATGATGATCCATTTTACTATATAAAGCCATTTCCAGCCATCTAGAGGTGCTACATGTATTTCCTCAAATTTTCCCAACCATGGTGGGGCTGAGGTGGTTGTGAAATCACAGTTTTGAAGTATGTGAAGTACATGCTAAAAGTGTCATTTCTGGCCATCTAGAGGTATTTCCATATATTTTTGCACATCAGCTCCAACCATGGTGGTGTCATGCTGTTACTGCCCCATTTACCAGCAAACCAGGGCATTTTGACGGGTTGGCGAACCAGGTTTTGAGTCTTATCTCTTAAGAGTCGTTATCATTTCCGTTCCTTGGCACGTACTGGCCAAGGACATTTATTTCATCTTTTATATAAGCCCTTCGGCCCAAATAAAATATAATTGCTATTTACAGGGGGAAAGATCACTTCTACGTTTAAATGAGTGATAAAGAAATTTACATAAACAACTTATTGTATTGATATCAGTAGTGGACATTAATTGAGTAAACTTAACTTTGGATGGATTAACAATAAAATACTTAAATATATAATGTTTACGAATATCAGTGTAACAAGGGCAAATTAAAGTATCACAGCAGGCATTGCTATTTGTCAATAAATTACCAGTATAGTATTTAAAAACCGCTTACTAATATTGTTTAATATTTATGATGCATCTATTGTAATTTTCACTTTATCCTCTCAAAATCTCTAATCTGGTTTGTAAATCTTTGTGGTACATTAAAGTCTGGGGGTGATTTCCACAGTGGGGAAAAGTAGATTCTTTTGTTTCGGAGTGATCTTATCTTCTTTTTTGAGTGTATTAAGTTTAGCTGTTAGGTTCCTCTTGTGAGTGAGAGTAGGGCTGCTTTTTAATTTTTCATAAGTATGTTGATCTGATAACATGGAGTTGAGTCTGTTGCATTTACTAACACTGTAGCTCAACCTTTGTCGGCTGGCAGGATCATTATGGACTTGTCTCTTTTTGAACTATTCAATGCTTTCCTTTCCTTATGTGTTATTTTGGATGTATGCAGTTTTGTGGACCTTACTATGTTCGTGACCTTAGCTTTTAACAGGTCACCCTCAGCTTTCAGGACTAATTTGCAAGCCATTTCTGTAGCAACCACGATCTCTTCTATGGCTTCTTTTTTGTGTCCGCTACTACAAAATTAAGGCCCGTAGCCCACTTTTTAGTTATTGTCTACTCAAGTCTACACTCTACTCTATGTCTCATTTTTTCCTGTCTAGCCATACCTTCAATTTAGCCTGATATCTTTTTCGTGTTGTTTTGTATTCTGCCGAAAGATAAAATCAAGGAGGAAGAAATGAGCCTTCAGCAATTGCGATGTCATATATGTGGGAGAAACTGGAAGACCTCTACATACCAGACTGGCCAAACATAAAGCAGACATTACCAATAATACAGGAGGGTATGCACAAGGGCAGCTCGTACCTCAACATCATCTGTTATCCATAAATTGGCAATAACAGACCACATGATCAGACATAACCAAATACCAAACTGAAACACTTCCAAAAATGTTCTTGGTATTTTTCATGGGACAATACATCTTTAACTGTCACTTGCAGTATTAAGAAAGACAAGAAACCACCAATCTTCTTGAAGAAACTATTCCTATAGGCCATTTGATTTTAAAATGAATACTTGCAAATACAGTAAAAAAGCCTATCTTTTTGTTCTTAATTGTTACAGTTACGATGATCTGGTAGTTGGAGCACCATTTTACGCCAGTAACGAGAAATGGGAAAGCGGGCGAATTTATATCTACTACCAAGACCATGTCGTAATTATACTTGTTTATTGGTGTCTTCTGTTAGACCTATAAGATACAATCAATAACAATAGTGATTATGATAATAGGCTTACTAATATATTCCTTGTACATTTAATCTGGAAACAACAATTGTCATTTAATCATTTACTATACTAAAAAGGAAAATATTACACAAATACAAGTTACCAGATAGGCCTACAAGATCAATTTTATTAATTAGAAATTACAATTGCACATCTAGTGATACAGTATTATGATAGATTAGTTGGATTAGCAGAAATAATAATTGAGAATGATAAGAATTTGCTTTTCTACATGCATACAGGATTTACAAGATCAATTTTATTATTTTTTCAGAAAAGAAATTACAAATATACATTTAGTGATATAGGGTATTATGATAGATTAGTTGGAGAAGCAGAAATAATAATAAAGAATAATAAGAATGTGCTTTCCTAGGTGCATACAGGGTTTATAATCGAACCTATTAAACATAAGTCTATCGACCTCGTTTTCGACATTTATCTTTTCATTACCTTTTGTGTTTGCTTCTGTAGAATACCAACTTTAAAGAGCCAGTAAAGATAACGGGAAAGAGAATACGTTCCCGTCTTGGTTACTCATTGGCAGCACTCGGTGATATAAACGCAGATGGTTATGAAGGTGATTATTAATACCGTATAATTTTCCATCTTTAGTATTTACTTATGGAAAAGTCAATCTTTCAACAAATGGAAATATTCTTTCCATTGCGCAAATAAAAAATATTCATTAATTGTTTTATAACACACCTAAAATAGATTCTTGTCATTTGATATTTTATGAAAAAAAACTACCTTTTTTCTGAATGGTGATTCTTGTCATTTGATATTTTATGAAAAAAAATCAACCCTTTTTATAAACGGAACAGTCCAGCGTCTTTTTCACCAATGAAAAGATTGTATTAGAAGTCATCGTTTCCTAGGCGCCGTATAATGGACCGAAACAGATGGAATGAAAATGAAGAGATGGAAGTAAAAATAGACGGTGGAATTAAAAATAACAATGTCACATGATACGAAATCCACCAAAACAAATGACAAGAATCTATTTTGGTTTGTTATAAAACTTCATATTGCACTTAGAAACCTAAAAAAGGTTTTGTTATGTGCATCACCATTTCTTATTTACAGATGTTGGTGTGGGTGCCCCATACGACGGTGAGGACGAAGCTGGTGTTGTCTACATATACCAAGGTCATATGGACGGCATTAAAATAGAACCGTCACAGGTTAGTAAAGAAATTTGCTCTATTTTCTGAATTATTTCACACTGGGTAAGGGATTTTTTTTGGCTGCCAAAAAGGAGGTCCTCGTTTCTCATTGGAGATTCGCTCTCTCTTTCCCCACTTCCATGCCACGAGAACGCCTGGGTGACGCTGCTGGAATGAAGATGTCAGAATCCCAGATACATATACATAGGCCTTCTGGCGAACCTTCTATATATACCGTACCGTAGAATTTGTAAATTTACATTTTATTGTTACTATTCTCTCCTCTCACAGGTAATTACCCCAATGGACCTGAACCTCAATGTTACGTCATTTGGTGCTGCATTGTCTGGAGGCATTGATGTTGATGACAACGCTTACCCTGGTAAATTTAATTATATGATTGAAGTAATAAAATTTTTATCAAATTTTTATCATTATTGTGTTGTTTCTGTAACAAATAAATGGATCGAATTTGAGGATTGAGTACACTACTTTTGGTCGTTTTTTTTTTCTTTTTCTAAATTATTGATATTCTTTTAAAGATGTGATGGTCGGTGCATTTCAATCAGACAAAGCTATTCTACTACGGTAAGACTAATTTTCTACTATTCATTATAATTTTCTGAAAACAGAGGCCGAAAATTTTAATAATTTTTTAACAGAATTGTTTCATTATTTGATTATTTAGGCCTTCTTTTCAGAGTTAAATTGTTCAGCCATGTTTTTTTCTTTTCGTGGACACATACTTTTTTTTGTGTACCAATTTCTTCAATTTGCTTCAATTACATATACTGTATATTAGAATTTGTTGATGATTCTTGAAAAAAATCATAGCATAAAGCAGCAATGATGAGTCTGATCATGGTTTCAACTGCACTTGAACAAGCATAACCCATGAAAGTGTGTTTATTTCAGTGGGGTCCTTCTGGTGGTGAATGGGCAGTATACCGGGAGACAATCCCTTACTCTTTTCTGAAGAGTGTACTGCATTCTTTAACATGCACACGGGATGAACTGCTTAAACATCTCACCTAAAAGATGGTGCGCTATCGTAACTTGCATTTCAGCCCTCCAGCTGAAATACAAGGAGAGCAGCGATGGGAATTGACCGGGGACCAAGAGATCTCCAGTTCAGCGCACACACAGTGGCTACCACCAGTTCAGCTGACTGAGCTAAGCTGCTCGCTTTCCTTGTGATGATACGGAACACGGTACACTCTTGTTGCCAAAGGTTGTGAAGAGGTTCTTATATGGAGATTAGTTGTTATAGCATTAAAGTTTTGCCAAAGAGTCCTCTGTATTCGAGTGCAGTACTGCAGATGATGACACGTTATTGTAAGCTTTTAAACACAGTGAGACAAAGTGAAGTTTTAATTATTTATTGTAGATTGGTATTGTTAATGTCAAGGCACAATATTTCTCTCTAGATCCCGACCAGTAATAACTGTTGTAGCATCAATACAACCAGAGCCCCAAGGGATAAATCTGGACGAGAAAAAATTGCAAATTGATGGGGAAATGGTGACAAGGTAAAAAAAAACGAAAACCATCAAGTCTATCGTGTGGTGTAGGCCTACTGTTTCTGTTATTGTTTTACACTTATCTTGCACTCTGTCTCTCACTCTTCTTCTAATTTTTGTTACTATCTCTGAGACACTCCTAAAGATGAATAATGGAATAAGTTAATCACAAAGAATTAACGTAATATGAACACAATCAAAATAATCATAAGCATGAATATTGTTGGAAAGCTTTGAGACAGAAGATCACAACAAGGCAATTCATCATAATTACAAATATACAAATATAATCCCTCCATCATGCATATATCTATACATCAATTCACGACTCCATTATCGGTAAATTCCCACTAAAAATGACCCATTGCGTGCACCTAAACTCATTGCATTCACCATGGGAGCAAATCGGTCGATTAAAACCTTTAACTGTTGCTTTTTACATTTTTGTATTGTACTAATAGTTACATGGTGAAAGGTTGCTTGCGGTACAATGGTGTGAATGTCCCAACCTCACAAGGTATGTACTGTAATAATCAATTTGTTTTACTTTCATAATTACAAATATTAGCTTAATGTATTTTATAAGTGGCTGATGGAAAAATATCAGTCATATTACGTGTCAACACGTCATGCTATCAAAGAATTGTGTAAGACGGCCGCACTCATCTCAATATTAACCTTTAATCTTTAACATGTCGTTTCTATTTAGAGTTCGAAGTAACGATAACATTGGATAAGAACCTGCCTTCCCAGTATCGGACAGTGTTTGTGAAAAGTGGCAGTTCAGAATTGCAACTGAATATGACATTGAGTGTTGACAGCAGTAATTCTTGCATAAGTCAGAAAGCATACATACAGGTAATAATGTGCAATACAGCAGTAGATGTAATTCTCAATATCATTATTATAGAATTCATTTTCAATATTATTTTTTAAATATTATATAAAAATAACCACCTTTTTCCCCAATTTTTAAATATTCCAAGATCTGTATCTCATTAACCTCTCCCGAGTGTTCGTCAAATATGCTTTTTGTGTCTTAGAAAAGTGAGATGTACAACATATCTAAAACCGTTTCCTCCAGAGCCTGGCTTTAAAGTCTACTTCTGTCACAAATAACATAGCCCAGTCTTGTCCTTGCACATATGCATTCGCATAATGCAAGGCCTTTATGACATTACTGGATAAAAAGGATAAAAAAGACATTCACCATTTGTGTGCTGATAGATAGTGAGAGTAAATTTCAAAAGTAAAATTTTTAATATGATGAAGTTCAGATCAAATTTACCAGAAATGATCTGAATGGGTTCATGTTCTATTGGACATAGTTTCTAGTTTTATATTTTTTCTTTTCTCAGGATAATATTGCGGACAAATTGAACCCTATTGTGATTACAATGACATATACCCCAGTTGAACAACCAGGTGTTTCCCTAAATCCAGTCATTAATGAGAACACACAGTCCACCAGCTCACAGGTACAATACATGTTTACTCTATTGCAATTCATTTATTTATTGGTTCCACCTCTTTTGCAATAGGATACCTTTCAAATCACATACTGTATTGCACTTTTGCAGTACCAATAACAACCCGCCAAGCAAAGTTGGTCCAGTTTGTTTTATCTGGTACTGGTACGTGCATTTATAATGCGCCTCTTCCTTGTGGTTATAAAGCGCAGTTCTTTTCCCTGGTCATTGGGTCCACATGCTAAGTGTTGCTGCTGGTAATCAGCGCAGGAGCAGGCAACCCCACCAGTTTGTGTGCTGTATAGCTAAAGATCAGTGGTGAATGTAGCAAACAAGTTTATTACTTTTAAAAAAACATAGCTTCTTTTTAGATATTTATTTGCAAACAAAATATTATTAGCAAAGTCAAAATATAGGCCAAAAACAAAGTTTTTATTTTTTAAATTTAGGTCTATTTTTTGAACAGCTGCAAAAACAATATTTGCATTCCAGATCTTTCCATACGTGCTAAATCGTAAGTATAAAATTAATTTCTATTATGGATATTCATGCACAAATAGTATGAGGCCCCTCGCAAGAATGTTGAGGAGAGGTTCCATAATTGTTTAATGATCATTTGCAAATCATAGACACTCGTACGCCTATGTTTTTTTGAGTGCTAATTATATTCTTCAACAGCCAATATACTCCTCATACTCCTGGGTTTTTTGAAATAAATTTCTGATTGGCAGCTGACATGTTTTGTAATGTTCATAGATAATAGATATCACATTGTGTCTTTCAATGATTTATTGTTAATTTGAAAAAAAAAATTTAGACAGACACTGACCAACTGGACCACCCTTCATATTTATTGAGGAATAATTGCCTTCATCCAACGAATGCCTCAGTGTTAGTTAATGCATCTGCATATATACAGCAGGGGACCCGAGCTTGAATCCCTATTGTGAAATGTTCACACTCGCAGATTGCTCATGTTTGGCGAGTTGAATGGCCGAGTGGTTAAGGCAGGGGCGCAGCAACCTACAGCCATAATATCGGCGCTGGCTCAAACAACATGCTCGCCTATGGTTCCGGAGGTGAAAAAAGTCTTCTCAATAAGGACTGTGAACCGTAGGCTCATGTGCACTATAAAGAACCCAGTACATCTTTTGAGATGAGTAGAGAGTTACCCTGGTGTACTGGTCCATATAGCCCCTGTTGTGGACAGATGAGAATAGCTGATACCATTTACCGGCCATCTCAGACGAAGGGACCCTTAGGGGAGAAGAAAGTTACAGTATGAGCTACTGTAGTTCACGCTGTGAGCACTCTGATTTTTATGATATAGCGCTATATAAATGATGTTATGTATGTGTGTATGTATATAGGTATGTGTGTGTATGTATGTTTCGTGTAAAATATAAATTATTATTAAAGTATTGTTATTACAAATTATAGGCAAAAGGATATAGTAACAATTGGTGATAGGAATGGACTGGTGATCAATGTTACTGTGGAAAACAAAGGGGACAAGGCGTTTAGCGCCGTCCTCCGGTCAGACCTACCCCTTGGATTAGGCTTGATTGGAACAAGACGATCAGATACCACGGTAATTATAAACATTGCAGAGACCACAATAAAGATCTAAAACTAAGCCCTGTCCAGACTATCAAATTTTATTTGACAAAACATATGACATCATAGTATGACCATATATAGGCATATCATGACCATATATAGGCACATCAAGACTAAAATTTAGTCATGATATGCATGTATTTGATGGGCATACAAGAGTTTTTTGTTGTCAAATTAATTTAACTTTCCCTGATTTGATAGTCTGGACAGCGC